GCCGCCTAGAAACATGAGTATGAGTCGTCACTTGCAGAAGAGCTCGAAGTAGTCGGCGCGTAGTATATATCGCTGTGGTTAATTTTCGTCGGTGTAAACAGGTTTAATTAACCTCGGTGTATTCAGGCGTTTGCAGAAAAGCATTGCGGTCCGTGTCCTGCCTTATGAGTAGAGTTCATTTTGAATAATATTCCTAATTTTTTATTAAATATTTATAAGTATTATAGAAAAGGCAACACAACTCTGCCCAAGGGCTCGTCGACGATGTTAATTGGCTTGCCTTGTTTCTTTCATTCATTCAATTGAAATTGGCTCACTCTAATTATTGTTTAATCTTCTCTACCGAGCAGTACCTTTGACAAACCGTCCGGATATCCAGTGTCTTATGCTGGACATCTGTCATCCTGTGTTTCCGCATTCTCGATGTTCTCGGTCAAGTCTTCACTTGTTAGTATTGGTCGCCCTGCAACAGATGCTTCCATAATGTCCATGCATTTTCTTCATGATTTCACAAATTATATTAAATAAATTTATTTATTTATTTATGTCACAAGGTACGAAGGGTAGGTAATGCTATTTCGTAAGAAACAAAAGGTAACCGAAAATTTAAAACACTGAGGTGTATGGGTGTTCTATTGAATTGCTCTAGGCAAACCCACTTTATGACATTCAGTATGACATTGAAGAGAAATGTGTACAAACGCAATCCTGATAGACATCGATCGGGTTCTTGGTAGTGTTTTGTATTATTTCTTTACATTATTTGAATGATTAGACGCAGTTATTGCAGATCACACAACACGACTTAAGAGCGTGTCCCATACAGCCTGCACATTTAGTATTGGGGACACGTAACGTCTGTGTGAGACTTAGGTCTAAGACTTTCTATTGCGGACTGTACGTCCAACGATGCGACTGGCCATGACAGACAGCTCGGCTTCCACGATAACTTTTGAGAACGCCCCGGTGAGGAGACAAGTGTTGCCCTATAGCATAACTGGTTTGGACGTACACAAAGGGCAGAACAACTGGCCGCAGGATTTCCTAAACGTACCATTGTGTGGTCATCTCTCTGCTTTAGAGCAACCATACCAACTTCAGTGCAAACAGCAGCCTCAGAGGATACTTCAGTGAAAGTAGATCAGATGTCTTCTTCCCATAATTTCTTAACCTTGATTAAGTTGCCACTTGTACTAATGGTCTTGTGCTAAGCGGTCAGCTGTACTAATATTTCTCCACAACAAATAATGACCACTTAAAATACGTTTTGTTGTAAACTGCGACACTGTTTTCGAATTTTTGTAATTTTTGCATTTCGGCGTGGATGTACGAGGCATCGACACATACATACTTGACATTTTTCGGGGCATATCTATCGAAGTTTTTTAGTTGTTTCCGGCCGACTTTTTGGGTTTTTAGAGCATTTTAAGGGGGGCATTGAGTCTAATTTGGGTACATTTCAATAGTGCATTTGAAAGTTTGACATTTTTGCCTCAAATTTAGCTGATATACTGTAGGCACACAATGCATAATTTCCGATGTTTTTTATTTTTAGAAAATTTAAGAATATTTCGCAAATTGTAACAAGTCCGATAGTTGTGGAACAAGTCCGACAAGTTGTGGAACTGAAATTCACTCATTGATTCTATTAAAGCAAATTATAAATTTTTGGATATCATTTCAAATAACACTGTTTCAAAAATAAAATTTTGTTAATGAAAAATATATAGTACGAAGGGAAACAAAAGAAACAGGATTGTCGTTATAAAAATATTTATAACCTTTTTTTACAAAATGACTTCAGTCACTTTCAAAGTCTTCGCCATTAGATGCAATGAACTTGTCAAATCTTTTTTCCCATTATTTGAAGCATCTCTGGAACTCTTCAACTTTGATATCGTCAAGTGCCCTTTTCGAAGCTGTTTTATTATCTATACTTAATCAAAACGCTTCCCTTTTAGCTTTTTTTCATTCTTGGGAACACAAAAAAGTCACCCGAGGCTATGTCTAGGGAATACGGCGGGAAGGGAACGACAGACCACCCGTTTTTCAAGTCCTGTCTCTAATGCAATCGAATGTGTTTTTGACGCTCTGTGAGAAGGCGAAAAACAAATTTAGCGGCATCACGTTTCATTTGCAAATCCTCAGTCACAATCCGCTGGCGTGAGCTCCAAATCACTTCTGTTTCTTCTGAAATTTTCTCTACAGTAAAACTACAATCCCCTTTGATTTTTTTGGCGGATTTTCTCCATGTTTTCATCGTTTCGAAATGTTGAACATGGGCGTCCAGAACGAGCAACATAAGTAAAATTTTTAATACAAGTACATTAATTTTTTCAGAGTGCAACTAATTTTTGACGATGGGTATACCTTTTAAATTGATTTATAATCCTTGTATCATTATCAAATGCATATCAATATTTTTATAATACCTCGAAATGGGTTGAACTATCTTAAAGCTTTCAAAGCAGCCGAAAGTGTGGGCGAGGTGACAATGGGAAGCGAATTTATCATGCCAAAAGTGTGGTCGAGATTTTGAATGCAATGGAATCATTCATGAGTTTCATATGTTATTAATATTCGACAGTGTAGTACGCTTAGCTTTGTGTACGGTAGTAGGCTGTAGGTTTGTGAACGTCGACACTTGAAGATATTAAAAGTATTAGTATTCCTGCTTTCTTTCTGCAGTTTCCCTTTTGGATAAAATTCGGAGCGCTGCATGATGCATCAGGGAAAAGTGAAGAGTGTGATTTTAAATTGAGGTGAAGGGGTGGTTCAAAATATCTTATTAAAAAAGACATCAGACACCGATATGAAAAATGATGCTTGAAATGTGTATATGAAAGATCAACATTATCTTTACTAAGGTTTTATTTTTTTTCTACTAGATTTGTATTACTTGCACTTTACTGTTTCTGCTATGTACGATGTATGTGATGCACTAGTTCTATTTTCTAAGTTTTCATAAAAGGTCTAGAAATGTATCAGACTCAGACAATTTTTTTGGGGGGGGGACGGAGACTTCGGAAGAAGGATACTTCAGCCTCCAAGATCCTCCTCTTCCTCTCCCTTTTCTACATCAATACGTTCTTATCAAGAACTTCTACTCTAAAATTAATTGACGTTCGTAACTTCTTCGGCGTGTTCTTTCACAGCCAATTTTCATCTTAATGGCTTTTTCGGAATTGTCATGGTTAAGTGAAAGAACACTCACTAGAATAACTTATTGAAATAAAATATTTAGACATAATGATGACCAGTGATGGTAGAGCTCTAAGAGAAGCAAAATAAAAAAGTATGAAAGCAAATAGAACTGTAGGCTGTTTCAACCACACAATATGGTGTAACCCATATCTTAAAAAAGGAGCTAGGATCAGAATGTATAAATCAACAATTAGAACTATACTGTCATATGCAGCCGAAACCAGAGAAGATTCCAAGAAAATATATGAAATGTTGGGAGTATCACAGACTTGAGTTTTAAGAAAAATTGTAAATAAAACGCTAAGGGATAAAGAACGTAATATGAAAAACCTGCCAAAAATACATCATATCAGACTGGATTCGTGAAAGGAGAAGATAATGAATGGAATGACCACATAGACAGAATGGAGGAAGATAGACTAGTGAAGATGGCAAGAGACAGAAGACTTGAAGGAAGGAGAAAAGTGGGTCGTCCAAGAATACGATGAAAAGAAACTTTGTGAATTTATGTTAGTCTGAACAACGTAGAATGTGAACTCATGAAAGTGGTTACATAGAATGTCAATTGTTTTAAAATAAATGTCCTTTGTTTAAAAATACAGGTTACAGCCTAAAATAAAAGAAAGAAGTTCTTCGTCAACTTATAGTAATAATAGAATATTCGTGAACTGTAGTCTATTTCGACTTAACAATGTTTATTCATTCACTTCCTTGACGTGATTCATTGGTATTCATGCGCGTGTTTAGAAAATGGCCGTTTAATTTCAACGTATTAATTCACGAAAGTTAATACTTCAAATAACATCGATTCTTGTTTGATCTGGTTTGAACTCTTAAAATGAATTCCAATGGTTCCTCTCTTTTGATCTGATCTCCTTTGATCTGATGTAATTCCTTAATTGATATTTGACCTCAAACCCGAGTGGAGAGAATTTGTCGAAAGTAATGTAACTAACTATATTACTTAACATACTGTATGCGTCCATACAGTATGTAATAACGTACACGTTATTCACGGCACAGTCGCTAAGAAGAATGTTTTCTGCGAAATGTAATAAAAAAGACCATTAGATAATTCATTATTATAAGCTGATTCTGAAGGATGAAACAAAAATCCTCAGTTGGAATTAAGATGCGATAAACTGCAAAACTTAGTTGTCAAGGATATATCTTTTTCGCTTTTTGGAATAGTTGTGACTATTACAGAAGGTTACAAGTTGCTATTGCTGATAAATGTTACTAGTTACTAACAAGGTTAGTACTAGTTGCAAAGAAGTTTCTTTGGCGACTCTATAATTTACGTTTCAAGAACATTGCTTCAAACTATGCTCGCGGTACTTGACCCTCGATTGGATGTTTTCTACTCACAAGAAAGTGCCGATAATCACAAATGTCAATAGCAAACACGCCCTCATAAAGTTCTCGAGTGATCTGATCATTACCCACATCAACCTGTATGAAAGAAATAAATTATTCGAAAAACAAGTGAATTCATTACTCATGTCAGAGAGTCGTTAAAGTGGTCTTTTCCCCTGGCCACCCCTACCTTCGCCAGACGTCGGGGGCGGAGGCTGCAGGCAGGTATCCATGGCAGCGAGGCGCTGTTATTTTGAATCAATTCCGTCGTCGACGACCGCCGTGACGCGGAGTCGAGCGGGGCGGAGAGGGGACGGAGCGGCCGGCAGTTCGCGGAAGCACTTCGCCGGCTTTGATCTGCTCTGTTCACCCGCGCACGCCGAACCGCTGGCGCCGCCCCGGCCCGGCCCGACCCGACCCGACCTGGTTCGGCCCTGCCCTGCCCAGCCCTACCCTTCTGTGCCTTGCCCTGCCCTGCCGAGCAACAAGTGCAGTCGCGGCGAGGGCGGTCGCGCCAGTGGACACGTCTGGGAGAACGGCGGCGCCAGCAGGCTGTTCGCGAAAGCACCACCCCCCGTATTGTCAACGCACGTGCGGGGCGGCCGGGCAGCATGCCTCATGACGATTTCGACTCCGACGAAGAGGAGGCGGAGGGACAGGTGACATGCAAGTGCGTGGCGCCCGTCGTGGTTGTCATCGCCACCACTATGGTGGTGTCGATGGTGCTCGTCACCACACTCACCACGAGCCTCGCTACCGTCGCCAAGTTGATGGCAGTCTTCATCATGACTACAGTTATGGCAAGCGTTATGACTGTCATTATGAATAATAACGATGAATAAGGATAATGAATTGGAACTGCCAACTGTTGCTTTTACATGAACAGTTCACTATATTGTACGCGTTTCGATGTTGCGATATATTCAGAGATGTTGCTATTTGCTGATGAGCTTGTCGATGTTCTTTGTATATTTAGTATTTATTGACAATTTTTTAAAACAAAAATGTCACTATATTAGTTTAAATTTCCTGAAATTACAAGAAAATGGCGATCAGCAATGCGGTGTTGACATTCGCTTGGAAGCGACGTAATCCAATATGGTGGCAAGAAGAACATAACCACACTTACATTAATATGTTCTAAGTTCCTTCGTAAAATCATGTGTATATAGTTGCTTCAATTGTCGCAAGTAAGGAAGACGTAGAATGCTTCTTCGAATGTCTATGGAATCTGTTTATTACAAGATGTCACAGTTTCCATGTTGCGTCCCTCTTTCCACGTGGCATTAACATTGCCATGGCAACGGAAGGGTTCAACGCTGCCTGTCTGGAGGCGTTACAACCGTGTGTTCTAGCATCCTTGGAATCTTTTACGTCTTCATGTCTCGATATATTGTGAATCTCCCAAACGAAGGGAGGCAATGGATGAAGTGATCAATGTCCAAAGCAATAATTTCCATTGTTTACAAGTTACCACATACACAAAGAAAGAAAGAAATATAACTATTTTGAATGAATATATATTTTGCTCAATATTATCCGATCATGAGTTTTCGAGTCTATACAAATTTTTATTAGGCTTTACATAATCAATTAATTTCACCAAAGTAAATAAACAGTCTGGTTTACTCTATAATGGATTCTATTTTATTGCTGTGATTTGGAAATGTGTGGTTTATTTGTTCTCAGAACTTGTAGCTTTGCATGTCGAAGAAATAAATTTCCAAAATGCCAAACATTCTTGGCATTTTTCGAAAATGTGATTTGAACATTTGCAAGGAATTACAATGTTATGGCAAAGAAGAAAGTATATTCAAATGAATTGCAGATTTTATGGTAGTTCACTTAGTCTGCTAATTAACAATTATGGCGTTTAAAAATATTTTATATATTTTATTTGATCAAGATATTGTGTAAATATGTTAGAATAATTACGGTTTTGGAAAAACGACATTTGAGAACCCATGGAAAGCAAGGAAGTCATTCACCGCCTGGAACACTACAAGAAATAATAACTCGCTGACTTGCATCTTCAGGCGTAAATGAAATGTGAGCTTTGCTAAAAATATACTGTTCGTTTGACTGTATAAAATTGATGATACAATTCAAATTTTGAAAGACATTTTACTCTCCTGGGAAATTATTTGCGGAATAATCGCTGCTAAGAAAAACTTATGACAGATCATAGGTACTTGTCAGGCATTGGAAACATTCACTGGGCCGTGGCCGTAAAGAAAGAGTGGAGTGGTAATGTGATTGCAAAAAGTCAGGGAAAGGTGAGTAAACTGGAAATCGTAATCCCAAGAATTCTTTACATTGAAATTATGTTTGATCTATGTGTAGTTAGCAATTTTGAAAACATTTGTGACTTGAAATTATATGCCGTTATTATCTGACGCCACCGGGTTGGTGTAATTCTGAGCGAACTCAGGTTCCCGTGAAGGCCTTTAATGGCGGGGTAAAGCTTCTAAATTCCTCGAATAACCTCGTTCAATCCGCTTGTTCTCGTTTATAATGATTCGTAAATATATTTTTTTGTAATTTAATTAATTCTAGCGATATGTTGTGTTGATAATTATAAGGATACCGTGTACATTATGGATCATTTTCAGGTTCCAGCCGACATAAATTAATATAATGGATCAACAATTCTGTCTTCGGTGGAACAACCATCCATCAAATTTAACGGACGTTTTAAGTAGTTTACTTCAAAGAGAAGCTTTAGTTGATGTTACTCTGGCCTGTGATGGTGAAACTTTCAAAGCTCATCAGACAATCTTGTCAGCCTGTAGTCCATACTTCGAAAGTATATTTCTTCAAAATACTCATCCACATCCTATTATTTTCCTTAGAGATGTGAATTATGTAGAAATGAAAGCTTTGCTACAATTTATGTATAAAGGGGAAGTTAATGTAAGTCAAAACTTGCTACCTATGTTTTTAAAAACTGCAGAAGCCTTACAAATTCGTGGACTGACTGATAATCAGACTGTTAGACAGTCTGATGATCAGAATTCTCCTTTGCCAGTGGATTCCCCTGTAAGAAGTGTTGAACCACAAAGTAGGCCAAATACACCACCTCCAAGTAAAAGAAAAAGAAAGTCATCTGGAAGTGGTGATCTATCTTTAATGGGGGCTGCTCTTGACCGGTTCCACTCAGACTCTCAGGTGAGTTGCGTTTGAAATTTTTGGTGCTGTGTTTGTGTTGAATTCCCCAAGTATATGATACTTAAAGGATTCTTGTGTTCGGGATAGAATTATTATACATAATGCTAAATATTGAATATAATGCAGTGTATGTGAAAATTTTCAATTTGCTCCTATCTCAGTTAGTTTGTAATTTAACTTTACTGAATAAAGATGAGAGTATACAAAAAAGTATCTGAATTGTCAGTTAAGTTTGTGATATAATGCATTATGTTTTGTAGGACAAAATAATCCTATAGCGTTTATTACAAAATTCATGTATTAAGTAAAATTTAGTTTTTAAAATGTCATTTTGATTTATATTTGTTCTTGGTTATTAATGTCCTTTTTTTAAATATCTTATTTCTTATTTTTTGAACAATTTATTAATTATCCACATTACTCTTGTTAGGGATAAAGAAATAATCTCCAATTAAATAATATTATTTCTGTAAAATATTCTGAATGAAAAGGGAACCCTAGTTATTAAGTTTTTTATTTAAAATATTTAAACATTTCTACGCAATGCTAGTAATGTTAATAGATTAATTGAAATTAATTCTAAATATTTATAATAGTTGTGAATTCTCTTGTTTTATTTTGATGGTACATATTTTTGTGTTAATTTTGTTCAAATAGGAGCTATTTCTGAAAACAGAAAAGATAAATATATGTTTGCAAGTATTTGAATGTAAATGTAACCAATATTCTAGATTTTCTCTTATTTTCTTCTATGTAGGTCCATTTAATTAGCGGTTAGAATATCAAATTTTGAGACTAATACTTCATGGTAGTGCTAAGTCAACAGTGTTTGTGAAGGAACAATTTCACTTCGGAAGGGATAGATTTTTAATCAAAACTGAAGGTTTAGAAGTTAGGTTCTAAATTGTCTATTAATTATTCATACCTAATGCAGTTAATAAGTAAGAACTTTATTAAATTGTATTTCTTTTCTGTGTATTAGAGAACTTAGGGATACATAATGTTGGTTAAATAAGTAATGTAATTTTATATCTTTGCTCTGCTCTCTCTTATGTTGAAGTTAACTTGCCCTAATTTTGTTAATAAATTTGATAAATTTAAACTACCACAAACAAGTTGCCCATTTGAAATGTGTAATTTCTTATCTTGTAAGGCTCTAACATTATTTCCTAATTATTTTGAGCTGTTTAGCTTCAGCTTTCTCATTTATGTTCTTCACTTTAACTATTTAATTTCTTATTATTATTGCCTTAGGATAATTTATTATATTAGCTTTCTGCCTTGTTTTCAATCTTCTTTATGCTGTGCTTGCTGTAGGAATTCATCCTAGGACTTTCTTTGCTAGCCTGTAATCTTTCATTCCATAAAGATGTCCACATCAATATTTTTTTTAAACTTCTAATATGTTTAACAATGCTTTTGTGTTTAATTAGGTCGCATTGCATTTTATTGTCCAAATATCATATGGTTGTTTAACTGGGCCAATGACCCTCAAAATTTTCTTAAATCATTAGCCTTTGAATGTCAACTTCTCTGAAGACCTTGCGTTTCTACTGCATTTGTACACAATATTTTACTGTCATATAGTCACAATTTTGCACTTTTAGATTTCAATGAACTTCTGAAGAATATTTCTTGTGAACGTCTAATTCATTGGAGAATTGTTTCCAGTATGTGTTTTACAAGAATGTGTTACAGTTTTCTTATTTGGAATGTGAAACTTGACATTGCTCTTGATGCTGTAGTTGTGGTCAATTTAGGTTGTATTTCATAATATCTTATTCCTTAACATGCAGGTATCTTTTTTTCTTTTTGACAATAAGTTTTCAAAAAATGTTTAATTGCCTGTAAAAGTCTTATTCATTTTTCTTTGGGGGAACATTTTGGTGTTTGAAGTTTGTTTGTTTTTAAAAAATGGTTTTGTGTAATTATGAAAATGTATCTTCTTAATAATAGTGTCCGATTTTTTGATTAATGTAGTATTGATCTCCTGTTGATATGACAATTATACATGATAAACCTGCTTATATTTATCGTTTTCCTGTAATTTGACTTACTTTATTTGACTTAAGTTTTACCTTCTTGAAATGCCAACATGTTTAATTATTTGAAAATATATTAATGTGTAAAGATTTTTGAATTCAAGTGCAAAGGGCTTGCCAGTAGTAATGAAGTATGTATTACATTTCATAAATCGTAACTGCAGCATTATTAATGCTAATGAAAATGTAACACAAATATTTGTTCTACTCGTATAGTTGTATGAACTAGAGTGTATACAAAATCGGTCTCTACGTGGAAAGCAATGGTGCATATTGTCTACCAGATTTGTCTATAGTTATTGTTGTGCGTACAGGCATCATCGCAGGGCAGCTACAAGAGTGGTAGTTCATCAGTGCCACCCCCTCTACCTAAGCTCAATCCAATCACTCCAGATGTTGAAGAAATTGTGGAAATGCATGACTCGCCTCCACCCATCATCAAGCAGGAGATGGACAGCAGCCCTCCACACAGCAGCCACGACTTCAAAGAGCCTCCTTTCCACAGTCTTTCTGCTGAAAGCATGGCTGCAGCGGTAAGTTGAGATTTGTCTAGTAATTGTATGTTCTTGTGTTTATCAACATTCTTATATATCAAGGGTTTCCAACTGACAGCCCACAAGGTCATTTTCTACGACTCGTGAAAGCTTTTTGAAAATTAATATTTTTCTCAAGAAAATAATAAAAAATATTTATACCTCATTTAAGAAATGTATTTATTTTTATGTGTCACAAAGGTGCTAACAGAAAGAAAAAGATCAAAAATATCTAGTTCAAGGAATAGGAACAATACTTACTACTTGAGCTGGGCATTTGACAAGCCGATACGTTCCTACATACCAAACTAGGAAAGAGATAATACTTTTTAAAACTATTATTCAGAGAAAAATACCCAAACCTATGACAGTTTGGACCGAAAATGACTTCAAGATTTGGGAACAAGTTTTTGTGTGAAAGTGTTTTCTTCTATGAAATTAATTAAAAAACAGTACAGTAGTTAACCTGTAGATACTTTTGTGCTGGATCTTTAGAGATAAGGAGGAACAAAGCTGAGGTAGACTTTAATTCATTCATTCATTGTTTGATGCAGATAATTGAACTCCCGCTAACTTGATATTTTGAAGTTTTGTTTTGAACACAATATTAATTTCACATTATTAAATTTATGTTATTAACTTCACTTTTATACAATTTTAGTTTATTAAGCAAAATGATTAAGCCTTTGTTTCAATTAAACTGCATATTATTTCACACCAGGGCTCCTTTCTGTTTGCAGAATATTATGTTAGAAAAAATTGACCTAATATTAAAGTGTGATCTAAGTTTCCAATGTAGCCCCCAAACCCATGCAAGTTGAATACCCTTTTAAAAAAACTCATTTCACCGTATTGTAATAAATTTTTCTCAGGATTTGTGAAGTTCGGCAAATTCTTTAAAATAATTATTGAAATATTGGGAGTATGTTTAAATTATATGTCGATCCTTAATTTCATTTAGTTGAGATAAATGAGACTCCTCGAGATAGTTGAAATACGGTTTTTAATTCTTTCCAAGCCGAAAAATTCATGACAAAAAATTTTTTAGTGAGGTGATTGTTCCACATCAAACTCTAATCACTATCAGAGACTTTTGAATGAAGGAGCTCAAGTTGAACTGTAGGTATTTGGGACTATCTATAAATGGCAACTGCAAATACAACAGATGCTTGTGATCATTTTAATATTTATTCAATAGTAATAAGTAATTATTGGTTTAATTACAGTAGAATCCTCTAACTTCATTTTTGTAGGAAAAAAATGGTAAATATTCTGTTTTTGCATCAACATACTATTTGAAAATTTCCCTAGGCCCAAGAATATAATGTGAAAAATATTATTTTATGTATTAATTTGAAAAAGAATTGGACTGAAAGTTTTTTTACGATTGTGTGTGTGTTCATAATGCTCTTGAATTGTTAACAGTAATGTTTTTTGTTGTTGCCCGATTTGGTATGCCAAGGAAAAATTAGGGCATCAGTATTTCGTGTGAATATCTGTTTTTTTTATATATTACCCGAAAGAATGACATGGTGAATAGTTTCTGCTCATAAAAACAAATTTATGAAGTGTTCATAACTAGTTTGTAACAAGTTGTGGAGATTCTTCACTGCCACTTAAAGTACTTACTATGCTTTAACCAATAGCTGTATATAATACACCTGATAGTAGGTAGGGTTTAATACAGTGGATTGTATTGTAATATTGAATTTCAACAGTTTTCCTGCAATACCAATTTGGAGATGATTTGTTGACAGTTTTGAATTACTATGTTTTACTTGTGGTCATATATTATTTTGTAAGTAAGAATTTCATAAATTTAATGTTAATTCCCGAAAGTGGCATAGTGAAATGTTTTGCGCTTGGTGAGTCTTAAAAGTTCTTACTTAATCAGATTTTTATGGCTGTGATTTTGTAAGGGGTGTACTTAATAGATTAAACAATAAATAATGCCACAATTCTTGTTTTCAATTATTTTCTATAACACTGTTCATTGCTGTTTTGTTGTTAATTTTTTAAATTTGAAGTCCATTGTATACGTTTTAATTAGGACTTATTTCAGTTTCGTTTCTACTCTGAAGGTTAAATGTAATCAGTCATTCATATTTACTAAAATCAAAACTTCTATTCAGTGGTGTAATGTTCAGACATACAATGCAGGTGGGGCCTGTTTCTATGGGGATATTTTTATTATTTGAGGTTCTAATACTACTTGTCTGCTAAACAATTTCATAAAAGGGGCTCAGATAAAAGTTTTGCATGCGGGCCTGCACTCTATAAAGCTAGTACTTCTATTAGGAAATGTATTGTGTATTCTGTATCAGTAAATCAAGAAATATTTATTAACAAAAAATGTTTTTTGCCAAAATTCAATGTTGTCTTATTTGATACAATTTATTTTCTTAATTATTTAAATAAACAGATATTTAATGTGGCTTTAATAAAAAAAATATTATTCACATTTGAACCATATGTCGTGTTCAGTTATTTAGTGTTCTTAATAGATTTAATATTCCATGAAGTTGGTATCTTCTACAGTGAAATCACTATAATGAAATTGTGCGGTTTTGCTAATTATTTTGTAATAGCGAATTTTCGTTATTTCTAAAATATCTTAAGGACAACAATGCCTTTCAGGATCTGCGTTACTTCAACATGAATTTATAAATGAAAAATCTTAATATTTATTTGATTAGAGAAATGTGAAATATATACAGTAATTGGAGGATGTTCATTGTTCATATCCTTTCACCATTTTTTTCAAATTTGATATTACAATATTTTTGGTTTTCTTCCTTATTGCAACAAGCGTAAACGAATCGTCAACCTCGAGAAAGTAATGAACGTCAGCATGGACCTGAGCCGAATAGCGTCAAGAAGACTTGAACCTTCGCTGCGCGTGTCCCAGGTTTATGACCAGGCTTGGGTCTGTGCGATTAACATAAATTAAGTTCGTCCAACTAATTTTATACCAAAAATATCAATTATTGACCGATGTAAATATAGTGACTTGTGACAGCATATTTTGGTTATTTAATCAGTAGCTTTGTTGATACTCACCTCTTGGGTATTACTCCCGATTGGATTACCCCAGCACAACCGAAGATCTGTCAGACGTCACTATATTTAATTAGGACAATAAAAAGCCCAATCTCATTTGAACTATGAAATAATACTCCTGTTTCTGCTATTATTTTTTCGCTTTCGTTTACGGATCTCGCATATATTGGCTGCAGCTGGTCAATTGCACGTGAATTTTAATAAGAGAATAAACTGAAAATTTCATTACGTCGGTGTTCGTTATATCATTTCACTGTATTAGAGTGATTTTTCAAAATTTTTTGTAATCACCGTATTTTTTTTTAACAGTTGCATTAGTGGAGAAATTGGGCAACAGATGGGTTGAAGGTTTCTCTTTCACTTTCTCGTCTTTGAAAGAATTAAATTTGTTTGTGCGACGAAAAACGACGATTTTTCGATAGGAAAACTCATATTGCCTGGGCTTGGTAACGAAAAAATTAATAAGTATTGTACCTACATATAGTGAATTACACAGTCTAACACGTGTAGTTGGAATCCACGATTAGTGGGTCCTTCAGGCCGAAAAATCGATTGACGGCGGTCTGTCCGTGTTCGACGCAGGCGTCTAAAACTGTCAAACGAATGTTCCCAAAATTGATATTTTCAGTGTGAACGAACTTTAGACCCTGCTAGTTTGAAACGGTTATTGTGATTTTTGCAGGTACTTATATGAAGTCTAAACATTTTCAAAATTTTCTTCAAAATGAAAACTTTTTAAAATTAAACTCTTCTCTAGTAAAGAACTCTCCAAAGAATGGCACAAGTCTCATTTTCATTAAAATTCTAATTTTGGGAAAAAAGCAAAAGGTAAAAAATTGGATTCTTCCCTACAACTACAGTATTGAAGATGGAGGTTTTTCGTAATTAAATCTGTTCTTCAAAAACAATTCCTTAAATAAGTTCATGTACAATGGTTTTTAATGAACAATGTGTTTCCACATTTTTACTTGGACAAAAAAACTCTAAATCCTACATCTTCACAAAAATTAACAATGTTAATACAATATTTTTTTCTTAATGAACTCTGTTCAAAAAATTTAGATCTTGTTAAGATCATAAACTATTTCTTGACAAATTGGCTAGTTTTTATGTAGTTTTGCTTGATAAAACAATTTAAGCAAAAAATATTTTCAAAATATCCTAATTTTTTTTCTTTGATAAAGCAAACTACGCTTAAAAGAGGTCTTGTGCAGGTGTCATTTTTGTTGAATACTTTGAATTTTAAAAAATTGCATATGTTAGAAATAATTCAAGAAAATATGAGCTGTTGTAGCACCACTCATTTAGTGTGGCCATTTAAAATGTATTCTTCCACCAGCCATACATGCTGGAATGCTACGTGCTGGGCTATACGTTGTTTTATATTTCGGGAAAATGATCCGCTTTTCTTTTACATAGACTGTTGTCAGGCAAATGAGTTACAGTTTATATTCTTGGAAACTCCCCTAAATGTATTATTGCCATCATCTTTGTCTTCTGGTTGTGAATCTGAATTCAGAATTGCGTGTGCTGCTGCTACTCGAAAATCCAGAAAGTTGAATGAAAAACTTGACAATTTCATTTTCCTCATGCCTAAGAAATCTGGACAAAGAAGGTGGCATTTTTATATGAAGAACTGGTTCTGGAGTTGGTGCCAGAGGAAGAGGTTCAAAAAAATTGTATTGACTGTCTAATGCTTTGATTATGCAAAGGTTTATTATTTTCAATTTCATCTTCATTGTTCCAATACTCGGTTTCTTCACTAACCCATGTAAAAGGCACGAAAAGATTAGTACAATTTCTATCATCGTCATCGTTATCGTCAGTGATGTTGGAAATATCCGAGTTTTTTATTATTAAATCGGTTACTAAAACCTTGTAAAGTGTGTCTCCACCTAAACAAAGTGTTGGTTTCCTGACCTAAATATTGTTAATAATTATTCTATTAAACTAAATGGAATTTCTTTCTTAGATAAGTTTAATAATACAAACTTAATGAATTAATGCTACAACCAAGAATATATTTTTGGCCCAATTTCATTGCCTTTAAATGAAACGTATGGTCTTCAATATGGACAAGTTAAGTTTCAAGATAACTGTATATGCTAGAATTGTATAATTATCAATGCATTTGTAATTTGCAGACTTTGATTACACATCAATCACTTTAAATTATTTAGAGGATATTAAGTGAAAAATACTTTTCAGAATCTTAGGCAGAAATTAATTTGGTAAAATCGTGAACACGAAAAACATCTGAATAATTTATTATATGTGTAAATGCTATTGGATTAATAATTTCTTTGTCACTAATGAAATTTCAGATATTGTAGATAATAAAAATTATCTGAAAACTAACAGCACTCCAATATTATATTCTCTTTTATTATAAAAGATTATTATAAATTTTCAATTTGTATTCTTCTAATACTTCAGCCATCTCTGAAATAATAGGAGACTTGGGGAGGGGAGGAAAACAAAATAGTGGTGCTGCAGAATGGCACAGAAGTTTTCGAGGTTGTTTGTTTTCTAATTTCTTTGGTTAGGATTAGGTTTTCGGTTTTGCCCTACCCTCCCAGCTACCGTTTATTGCCACTGAAACTTCAAATTTTTAATCCTCATACAATAGAACTAAACTTCACCATAACAATATTATAGAGGAGTAAAACCTTGTTCCATATGGATGTTTTCATTGAAAAGTTTGGAGTCATTTTTTAAAAAAGGTTGTTTTGAACTTTTGTGAAAATGTGCATTTTGAAGCACATTTTCACTCACAACTTTTGAGTTCTTGTGAAACTTCATAAGAAATTACAGTAATTGTCAATGTATACAAATGGCTGATAATATAAATATTAACAATGTGATGAGAGGTATTTTCAAACAATTACATTTGTATAATGTTAGAAAAAACAAAAAAATACATCAAAGCGACATTTATGTTATACTGTTTAGTACGTTTATAACCATCCATTTGAAACATTTAAAGAAAAAATTTGGAGTAGTTTTTGAGAAATCTCTCTGGGCATTTCTGATAATGCAGAATTTTGAACTCTTTTTCACAGAAAATTTTTGAGGTTTCAGAACACTTTTATGAGACATCATTTGAAGCACATGTACTCATAAATGCAATAATACATACAAATCACCACTATTGTAGTATTAATGATGTAATTGACATAAGTTGCAGAGTATTGAGTTAAGTCAAATCAACTGGGGAATATCCTGTTTGGAAAAAATCATACTAATAGTTTAGGCGATAGTGTTGTTGATGGATGGATGTTAAAAAAAAAGGCCTTTTGGTTTCAAACCAGTATTTACATTTAAATTTCAAAATCGATTTTCCGCAGCATTTCACAACTATATTTACAAAATATTTTTTAAGTATGCCCTGAGGAAGGTCGCAGAATGGCGACTGAAACGTTGGCACCTTCGCCATGGACGCTGCGTCACCCGGACAGCCTAGTAAATACTGACTCCGGCCGCGGAAGCTTACGCTCTCATTTCACAACTTTCTCAGTACTACATGTATTACTTCCATATATACTTATCCATTTACTCCATATATACATATCTATATGAGAAAGTAATGTTTTATGTAAACCATTTAATGTTTGAACATTTAAAACTATAAAGAAAGTGATATTTGTACCATTGAATTCAGTGTTTTTGACTGTCATTACACACAAACAAAAAGGAATGGCTGTGAAGTCTAGTATTCAAACTGCTGTCATCTCATATTTGTTGATCACAACTCAACAACCTGCACCAACCTGCCTGAGTTCAGTTAAAGCATTTATGAAGAAGAAAAAATGTATAATGTAAATAGCCCCCCCCCCCCCTCTCTCTCTCTCTCTCTCTCTCAAAAAAAAGTTTCATAAATATAATAGAATATATAATTACTTAAGATAATTTTGAAAAAAGTAATTTTTTTCAATTTTTGCAATTTTAAGTTTTAAGCAAAAACAAATCTTACACCATATTGACAAGTGGTTTTTACTCTACTCATGGCATAGTGAAAGAAATGAAGCAGTTTTTGAGAAAACCTTGGTTGAGGGTGTTTTTTCTTGTTTTGAAAAGGCCTCTGTGATTCGCCATTATGCATTATAAGAAAGTAATTTACATTGGAATTTTGGAGAATATTTTGAAAATCTCTTTAAGATCTTAACGTAAAGTTAAATTGAGGTACATTTCAAATTTGTGGGTCCTTAAGTTCACTGAAATTAATCAGGGTTTGCATGTTAAGGAGAAAATCCTTAGTGTGGTTTGGGCAATTGTAGTTTATAGATAAATATTTTGAAGAATAACCAGTTTTTCAGTATCAGAGTCCTCAAATTCATGTTTTCTGTGAAAATCTTGAGAACAATTCTTTTGCAACATTACATAAATTTTCTTTTGTAAATTTAGATTCTGAGTATATTTAATAAATAAAAAAGTAAAATTTAGAATCTTTTAAAAATTTATATAATTATTTATTTTGGAATTAGTACATGTTCATGTTTGTACTTGTAAATAAAAACATACTATTTATTTGATCAAAGAAATAGTGGGAACATTTTATTTATGCCATGCTGCATTTTGGCTTTGATGTAGCTCCAGTATGGATTGAAGGGTAGATTTTTATGTATTTATATATAAAATGTATAAAAATATATTTTATATTTTTCTAGAGAATCTCTATAAATATTTTATAGAGAATTATTTGTATGAATACACATATTTAGATAGTATATTCTATACACTTAGAAGGAGGCTGAGATTTTTAAATAAATAATATTATTATTAAGAAAAGTTGGAAGTGGAAGAATTTTGCCCCTTGGTGGAATGCCATATGAAGGGTTGCTTGCTATCTTTCGTATGTGGGCCACAGTTTCATACATTATTTTCACCAAAGATGATACAGGGCAATCATTACCTTTCATATGACACACAGTGTACGACTCATTATATTAAATTAGTGATCTCTATCAATATTTAATTGAGAATTCTCTGTATAATTATATATTTATATAGAGAATCTAAATGTATAGATTCTCTACTAACTTAGAAAAAGAGAGATTTTTAAATAAAAAATATTATTCCATCACCTTTTACATTAGTGTGTTACTTGATAAATTTTTGAATTAATTTGTTTCTTCCAACAAAATAAGACAGCTTGAGAAAGCATGTTCCACCAGTGTATGACCTTGGCTTGATCCAGTGAGAAAATTGTTGTGGAGAGAAGAGGAAAGTTGGAAGTGGAAGAATTTCGCCCCTGCGCGGGATGCCATATGAAGGGTTGGAGTACTGACACATTAAGCAACTTGTTCATTTTGAGCATGATGTGAGCCACGGTTTCATACATTCTTTTCACCAAAGATGCTACTGGACAGTCATTACCTTTCATATGACACGCAGAGTACGACTCATTGTATTAAATTAGTGATATTTTCAAGTTCTTGACGTAAAGGAAGGGGAAAATAAATATCTTTTTGATTGAAGAAACTGAATTTTATATGCAGCATTTGCTTTTAAATTATGTTTAATGATAAAAAATCCATAGCATTTCAAAATTATTACAATCACTTTTCATATTTTGATTTCAAAACAAACTGTATTTTTAAATCAAGTAATATGGAGCCGTACTATTTTTAGAGTAGGGGCCAGGTTTTTCCGTGACCAACAAGAAATGTAAATCGCTTTTCATGAAACACGTGAACAGAAAAGTATGACCAGGCCTTCCTTCTCTGTTGACAGACAAGTATGGCGTATGGAAGAGGAAAGGATGTTGAAACCGTGGGCCGCACAGCCATGTCTGACTCACATCCCGGTGGCGGTTGCGGTGGTGGTGGTTGGGCCTTGGCCACAGGGGGGGAGGTAGGGACTTCTGGAAGAGCCAGCAGTTCTCCACAAGCCCATGGGAGTGGATGCTTCAGCTCAGCACAGAATGCATTGAAACAGTACTTGGCAGGGCAGAAAGTGGAACTTCCTAAGCTTCCCACTCCTGTGACTGGTACCTTCTCTTCCCATCTATTGCAGCCACTCCCTCCGCCGCCTCTTCAATTTGCACCGTCAACATCCTCTGTGTCTCAGCAGTGGCGGAGCCCATCAAGCCGAGGAGCCTGCCGAACCCATCGAAGTGTGAGCTCCGAATCATCCCCTCAAGGGATGCTGCAAAATCCGAATGTAAGCCACGCTTCAAAATCTAGTAGAGCTGCATCAACAGTGTCTTTGCCTGCTGCGGTGGGGCAAGAAATCTCTGTGATCCAGCCAACTCCACCTGCCAAGTCTGTGCAAGGAGGGAGTGGACCTACTGCTGGCACACGCAAAGGAGGAAGATTCAGACCAGGCTGGCTTGAAACATATGTATGGTTGCAGTATGATGAACGTCTCAACACCATGTTTTGTAAGTACTGTCGCAAGTGGAGTAGTGCAGTGCCAGATATTCGCACTTCCTTTGCAGAAGGCAACAGTAATTTCCGTCTAGAAATTGTGAACCATCACGACAAGTGCAAAGCACATCGCCTTTGCATGGAAAAGGAAGAAGATTCCAATATAAAGTCAGAACCTACTGCTGAGTGACAGGCATTTGATGTTGTACTATGTTTCAATGGAAATGTGTATTAGCACACATTTCATTAGTACACAATTAAAGAAAGAGGTAAAACCTCTGGTACCTCTCATAACATCTCACTGAAAATTTTAATATTTTATGTCAATTGTAAGAGCTTAAACTATATCTCTATACTGTATTCTTAGAAGAATTTATGAACTCTTGAGTGTATGATGTGTTGCGGGTGATCAAGGTATTGAAAATAGGTGAATCAACTAGGGTGAAGTTTGCTGCTATATTTTTGCGGAATGATGATTCTTTCAGTCAGTAACAGTTTACTTTGAATCAAGAGTATATTCACATTCCATATAGTGACTTTTCTTACAAAAGCGCCTCATTGATTTGAGTTTTCTTCCTAAATTTATATAATCAATTAATGTTATTTTATGTTATTTCTCTCATATTTTAAACATGATTTATTTAAGGAGACATGCTTAAATTCAAGAAAATACATTTTTCAATAAGATACACGCACCAGAACTGGCCACAATTCTGAACATTTTTGTAGTTTTATCAAAATTCTTGGGCTAAAGCACTAAATTTATTGTGTGAATCTCAATGAATGATACCTCTTTCTGAATAGACCCCTTGCCTAAAAATGACAAATTTTTAATTTGTTATATTTTTTATTAATTTATTTCCAAACCTCAATGTAGTTCCAGTAGAAATTTGCAAAATTTTTGTGGTGATCAGTCTCTCGACTCTGTAATGACCAATAGTTACCCTACCCATGAACATGTTTGAGTCCAAAAAAAGTCCTGATATACATTAAAGCAGTGTTAATATTAATAAGATTTTTCTGCCTATTCTTTAAATATAAAATAATGGAAAATAAAGTTTCTTTCAAATCCTCATTACTAACAGACATAAGCTTATGTTTCTGCAAGTTTGATGCAAGTGGAAATCCTGCACATTTTGTGCAGATGTGGCCACTACTGGTGTTGCCCTAGAAGTGTAACTGTTTGCTTGGGATTGGTTAATGAAAGTTGATCAGAAAAGTACTTTTTAGGATTGCATGGGAATTATTTTATACTCTGGTAACAATACCTTCTATGTAATCAATACAACTCCTATGTGAAATGTTTGCTAACTTTCGCTTACTAAGAGAGAATTATATAGATGTGATTTACATGCAGTCTTGGAGTTTTTCTAAATATGATAAATATTGAAAGTTTTTACTGAGGAAGAAAAATTTGCAGATTGTCTTAGATTTCAGGTTTTATAAAATAATAATTGGAAATCATTTTCATAGTTTTTTGTTGTTTTTTAAATGAGAATATTAGCAGTTTTTATTGAACAAGATTATAGAAAATATTATTTTATTCCATTTTATCTCAAATATTATACTAATAGCCCTGCCTCAAGTTACAGTTTCTTTATTCCCAATAAAATTTCTAATTTTTATGTAACTTATTAATATTCAGCATTTTTAAATTATTTCCAGTTGTATTTACTAAATGAAAGTGAAGAAATTGTAGCCAGATGTCTACTTATAGCTAACCAGCGTACTTAAGGTTTTATTCTACGACATCTTAGTTTTCTTTCTGTAAAATTAATTTGACTCCTGTTTCTTTTCATATAAAAATTATGAGAGTATTAGATTTCCTTTTTATTTTATTTTTTATGAAGCCTACTGATCAAGACACTTAATTTATGTAGAATTTCCATCTTAGTTGTAGGAAACTATTCTCCAAACCAGGATAGATTTGGAAATGTAACAGCACTTCTGTAGTTGTGCATGTCTTCTTTCATGAATCTAGTTGAAAAGCTATTTTCTCTAGTCATGTCCCGATGATAAGTTGAATATTGAATATTTTGGTTTTTAAATGGCATTGAATGTAATTGTACCTGATTGTAACCATGGCATGTGATTGTGAGAGAATTTCTGAACTATTGTTGGTTGTACCTGGACACGTGATGATTTTTTAAAGATAGTTCTAATGTTAATACACCATATTAGTTGGATAATGTACATACATATGATTAATGGGAAATGTGATTTATTCATACTTAGTGTCTTGGATTAGAAGTACAACAGGATCTATCTCTGAAACTTCAATTTACTTGCAGATGATGTGAATGTTGATCAACTACAAAATACATATAAGGGTAATTTGATAAGTAAGGTAAATGGAAAATGAAAATAACTTACACTTGATTGGATTTATTTGATGAAATTGATGTAATTTGCTAAAATTCTTGATGATTTCTTTTTTTGTTTTGGTACACTGAAAAAGTAATATTCTGTACTTCTCTAAAACTAAGGCCTTTCCTTACTCTTGGAAGCAGATTCTTAGCTCAACATTGTTCTGAATATTTATTTCTGCTTATTAACAATAATGATCTTGTCTACATTGATGATAGAGATAAAAAAAAATAGACCTGCCTGAATTGTTCCTCAGAACACTCGTGCATTTTTAATTGAGTGAGGCAAATGTGACTCGCAAATTTTTTTCAATTCGCTGTTTTTTAATTATGATGTAGAAAAGTTCATTAAGATCCCCCTCATATTTTCGTCCACTTGAACATTAATTGAAATTATATGAATGTGTGGAGGACTAGATAAGCTTAATTTAGATCTGAATGTGATTCCTTATTTAAAGAACATGATTTTATTATAGCATATTTCTGCCTTTATTTTTAAAAATTTTGTCTTCTGTTTAAAATAGTCAAACGATATAGAATGTGATTTCAAAACACTGTATGAGCTTGTCTGAAGCATTGAGAAAAAATTGCTGGATATTTTTTCAATGAAGCTATATGAATGGGTTACTACTAAGTAGTGGTTGAACCAAAGTATGTATCTACATTGTAACCTTACTTATCAAACAATCTTTGTGCAAAAGAAAGCATTCTGATTCCCTGGAACAAATGCTTCATTCTTTTCAGTTTTGTTTACAAATACAACCCACTGAAAATTGATGGGATATGATTAGAACTTTTGCTCCAAATTAGAATTCCAAAAATGTCAGCTGGCTGACAAAATCAGTGATATTCAGTGATCGGGAAATGCTTCTGAAAAATATAAAAGTGCTATCGTTATTAAGATAAATGATAGGAAAGAAAAATAAAATGGATGATTAAATATTAGTCAAAATAAAATCCATTTTTTAAAGTAGTGAAGATTAAAATAACCTTTTATTTTAAAGTTAAAATTACTATGTAATCTAGAGTAAATGTAATATCAAGTATATTTTTTAAAACGCCCTGCAAAGATCATTAATTTTATTTTTTTAGTTTCTATACCTAAAATGATCAGATGTGATACAGGTTGTTACTAGTGAATTGTTGTTTCTTAACAAGATTGTTGTGAGCTTTTTATCATTAGGCATATTTTCTCAACCAATGAGTATCAAAAGGCATTTCCACATTTTAGATATTAAAAAAAATAATATTAAAGTTAATTTTTTAAAGATATTGAAATTGATGGTTGTTATAAATGGATAATATATACTATTGAAAAGTACAATTATATCAGCCTGATCAAACAATCTATTGGATGAATAATAGAATTATAAATAATTGCAGTAAAAGGCTATGAGATACATATGTGCTATTTTTGAACAAAATTGTATTTTCATCTCTTTGTAATAGTAACAAGTGAAAATTATAATGTACCTGATATTTTTTGAAGTGGGTAATGTTTCAGTTGAATTTTAAAATTATTCTGCCATAGTTTTTGTCATGTATTAGTCTATTAAATCCACAACAAATATGAATATTTCAGATGATGAAAATCTTATTTTAATTAATGTATCATATTGTGATGTGCCATTATTTTTTGACATATGAAGTGAATGTATCATCAATATGACAGTTTAATTGTAGTTACTTAATTTCTGATAGATAAGATATAGTAAAAGTTGTGAACTTTTTTCCATAGAAAATTGATGTAGCTTGGCAAGTTTGTAGGTGGCTTTAATTGTAATAGATCTGACAATGTGCATTATCACAGCATTTTTTATATGTGGGCTGTAAGGAACCCCTAAGTTAATATTTTGATTGTTGTCTAAAATATATATTGTAGTAAAATGGTTGTGCTAAGAGTGTAGATTGTATATGGCTCTTCAATGTAATGAAGGCGAATGGAAAGTATCTCCTGTATTTTGAATGTTATGGGATAAAATGTATTTTACTAGGTATTGTTGTCAACAAGTGATATGCAAGATGTATCTTTTTAAACTAGTTATATTTTACAGAAATATGAATTGGTGCTTTTGTATTTTACAAAACATTATACATTTTGTCAGAATGTGATAGTATAGACAAATTAACATGTTAAAAAAAATTTCAAATTGTCATCAGGCAAATTTTTAAATTGTTATTTTTTGTATGAATTATGTAGTTTACTAAAAGATTTGAAAGAACTATATTTCTAAGTAGTCTGCAGCTGGTCTGCTTGAGAAATGTGATAATGAGAGAGAATTAAATGTGTTGATGTTTTCAATGAAAGAGAGGTTTCAACAGTTTTGATGTATCCATAAAATATTGAAGGTTATTTGCATTTATTGAGAATGTTAAATGTTTTTGATGTGGCCAAGGTTCATTGTATGATCCTGTAATTTTAGGAAAATAATTTATAATTGCTCTATCTTACCAAATTCTGATACCTAAACATACTAACTCTACCAGTAAAGATTTATTTTACCTACATGTTTGTATATGTTATTGCCAACTGACTCGTTGAAGAACATTACCTTGTCCTGAAATCTATATATAGTCCAGCTTGTTTTGACTTAGCAAGTTTCCCATAAGATTTATGATGTTTCGCTCATGTCTGGGTTTTATGTTTTGGTATGTCTAATCATTTAATAGTCAGTTTAATGGGAAACTTCGTCTATTTTAAAACCACATAAACTGGTATTACATTTATTAGCATGAATGGAAAGCAATTTGACTTCACACATATTGTAATTTACAAAGTTGCCCAGTGGGCAACAACATTTTTATACATTGTTGACATTTATGAGATTACTACTGGAATGAAATAGAAAATATTGTATTTGTGTTTCTGGTATAATAAGATATAAAAGAATGTTACAGAAGAGTTGCTGCTTTTCAAAATGGGAGAACAGTACTCTCTGTGTTGAATCTGTAGCGAGAATAAAAGCAGGCAGTTCCCATAAGTTCCTCTTCATTGCATTTAATGCATTCATATTTTAAGTAGTTTGGCAACGCATTGTGTTTGCATAACACTCTTTTGTTTTGTTTTATGTATTGTTTTTTATATTATTTTATTTGATTGGAAAATGGTGTCAGAACTGCCTTCATTTGTTCAAGTTGTTTGTTATAATAATTTATGTTCTAATCTGGGAATTGCCTGCTGTTCTATTCATTGTAATATCATTTTTATAACATTTGACTACATTTTTGTCAAGAGTTGATGTCAAAGAGCATGAATAAAATGTTATTGGTTTTTTCTGTGCGTTATTTATTTGGAGAAATTCTAAATACTTGTTTTTATTATTATTATTATTATTATTATTATTTTCTTCCTAAATTCATTTTATACTGTGTACTTTTATAATTTTCCATAATATTAAGAATTTAATGGAAAGTTTGATTGCTGAATTAGTGATAATTGGACAATTTATCTATGACTAATGAAATGAGTATGATCTATTGATACATGCTGAACCTTCAATTTTTTATGCCATTTGAAAAGCAAGCATTTAATGGTGTTTTAGAAGACCTGCAGTTGTTTTTAAAATGAATGTGCTTGATACCATGATTTTTTTTCCATCTCAACAATTTCAAGTACCATTTCAATTTTGTTTCTAGATTAAATTAAACTAGTTGGGGCTGTGTAAAAAATCCGCATGTTGTAAAAGTGAAAGTACTTCATGCAGGATCGTAACTTTGAATGGCCAGATCCTGAATTGTGTTGCAGCAAAGCATGAGCAAAAATTGTAAAAACTAAGCATAGCGTAAATTTCACATAAAATTAAATAGTAACTTTAATTTGTTCGTGGATGATTATTTCTGTCTGTATACTTTCAATTTAATTGTTCATAGATTTTGTGTCAATGGTCTTATCTGACCCCCCTCCCTCCCACTTTGCTATAGAGGAAGCACCTCCAAAAAGACGCAATCAAATTAATTTTATCGATTATTACTATCTTGTGATTTGTATGACCTCTTTCAATTTATTTTTAAAGTTTCTGTTACAATATTTCATTGCTGAATTGGTGTGGCAACATCATGTATTAACATTTTAGAAGATTTCTTGCTCCAGAAGGATTATCATTATGTACACCGAAAAAAAAGAACAGTTGCAGTATATCAGATCCATGATACTGTAACAAGTTCCCTCCTTACAGTGTTGTGGATCTGGTATATGGCTTCCCGTATATATTTTCTTATGGGAGTTTATAGACTTTCATGAATTCTTAAAGAGAACTCTGCTTGACAACAGCACTACCTAAATTTTAATTACCTAGGATGTGAGAGAGAAGTACAAAAGTATAGAAAATAAAAAAAATCTTCAACTAGATTTATCTCAAATCACTGTTTGTGGACTTGGTTCAAGTGTTGATAGCTGAATTCTATCATTCTGTCCTCGATTAATAGTTCCAATACCTTTGGCTTTAATGGTCTGTTTACCCTGTGTAATAGACCTGTTTAAACTCTTAATCTCGCAAAATAACTACTCGACATAGCAAAAATTATTTGTTGGCTTGAATCAAGAAAGAAAGTATAATTCTCCAATTATGGCTTTGTTACTGAAACTCCAGAAGGCATCTGACTTTTCTGATTAGAGCAAATGTCAGAATAAGAAAAATCAGAATGTTAAAACACATTTAGCTTCAGTGAACCAATTCCAAACTTGTTGGCTGCAAATTGCCCATTTCTGTTATTTTGCCTTGATTGGCCACTTCTTTCTGTCTCTATTAAATTGACGACACTTCAGTCTATAATGCTTGTGCAATTTTCGTAGACAGCATCTTCCACTTGATAAAGTTGCTGAACCCATCTGAAAGTTCTAAAATCACCTTGTAGGCTAAATGCAAATTACCATCAGTGCAATTTTTGTCCTTAAAAAAACTTATCAAATCCCTCAACCTGGCAATGTAGACTGACTCTCTTTCATCTCGTTTCATTGTTACACTATAAAATGATGCTTAGAGAGAACTTTGAAGTGTTTTAGATGAAGTTTCCCATTGTGCACTTGAAAGTGCAGCGTTTATTAATTAATGCTATGATAACATGAGCTCCTTTCTTTACTGATAAATACCTTCATTCAGACCCTGAAAGGACTCTCAAAAAGAATGCAGCTGGATGTCCTGATTGTGAGAGTGCAGTAGCAACAGTGACATCAGAGCATCTGTTTCAATGGTGCAACAAGTTTCATAATTTATTGGAGCTGACGTAAATTTTT